TAAAAAAAATCATACAGTCCACTTCCACAGGCATGCACCAGTTCTACAGAGCTGGGATGTGATATCTAATCGATAGCTACCAGAGCAATACAGTAGTTTGAAAACTATACCTCAAATGCAGCCTGCATTTTTTAAAAACTTACCCCTAAGAAACAAGTCTGGCACAACCATTTGCCATGAACTTTTGGGACTCTAATTCCTCTGCACTACCAACAAGACACCAGTGCATGTCTGAGGAAGTCACTTTGATCTGTAAGAGCTAGTAGATTTTACAATGTTTAAGTGGTCTAATAAAGGTATCACCTACCTCTGCATTGTATAGGGCTTTCAGGGTAAGTGATATATTTAAGGAGTGTTTTTACCAGCTCCACACCCCCAGTAAATTTCCATGGTTGAGTAGGGACTCCAACATAGGAGTCTAAATCTAGTACTCTATTCATTACACCACACTGAGTATCCTGATTTTATTGTACCATGGTAGAATTTCCTTTTGTAAATGGAGGAAAATGAGCTGTTTTTTTTTACTTCTTCTCTTTATTGTGACAATTTTTTATTATTATCATTATATCCATATCTGATTTTATTTCCCTCCTTTGGATCCATCTTTATGGGGGAAAGCAGGTCTGAGTTATTAATATATATACATATATAAATGAATTTATTCATTTTTTCACCTGTGTCCAATTAAAATTAATTCAAGAGAATTTTATGGCTCCAACATATAACCTGCTGATTCCAACATCTAGTGATCTTCTCCTATAACTCTTTCATCCAACACTGGGGGGGGGGAGGGTCTTCTCTAACTGAGAGATTTTCTTATGCTGATGAAAGTTCTCTAGTTTATATATAACTAATGCCTAGAACATGTCATTTGACACAGCCTTTCTGCCTTGAATGCCACTCAAGATGTTTATGTCATCCCACAGCTGAACACCTGAGGGCTTTGTGATAACCACCAGCTAAGGCTTGGATTCCTCACAGCTGGGCGCAACAAAGCCCTTGGCTTTGCTAAAATACCTTTTCAGGAGTATATGAGCTGCCTGCAAAGCACTGATCAGCCCTTTAACAGGATAAAGGAGTAGTGCCAACATCTTCTGTGTCAAGTGCTGCAAAAGGGCATAGCAACCATGACTTCAAATCCAAGGGAATATCCACAATCATGGTTACTTCTTAATTCATGCCTCAAATGTTCAGCTGACGATTTGAATTTGGATCAGACTGCGTGTTAACATGTCCTTCCCCAAAATGTGTGTCTCTCTTCCACAGTATTATTTCTAGGTTAGTGACAATTTATAGCCAAAGGTACTTATTTGTTTCCCACTTGTGCTGTCTCTTACTTGCTATTCCATCATAATACAGCCTCTATTTTCTTGTTTATTTTTTATGAGTCAGCATTGTAATACTAACTGGGAACAGGCTGGCTGGATCGCCCAATGGTTTGGTATCTTGCTGCAGAGCCAGAGGTTGGGAGTTTAATTCCCCACTGGGCCTCTTGTGAGTAGAGCCAACCTGTATGGCCTTGGGCAAGCTAAACATGTATACTTATACATTTTATGGGCCCAAATCCTGTTACACAGCTATGCCCATGTAATAAAGATTTGTGCAATCATCATGATAATCTGGCTGGAAAGCTCAGTGGTTTAGGTATCTGGCTGCAGAGTTAGGTTGGGAGTTCAATTTTCCACTGCGCCTCCTAAAAGTAGAGTCAGCCTATATGGCCTTGGGCAAACTGCACAGTCCCAGGCCACCCCGAGAAGAAGGGAGTGGTAAATCTCTTTTGAGTATTCTCTCCCTGGAAAAACCCTGAAAAGGGTCACCATCAGTCAGAATTTACTTTGCAGGACATGATTATTAAATGAGAAACAGAAGATAAAGGAGACTGTCTTAGACTGAGTCAGGCCACTAGAGGTCATGAGGTCTACTATTGTTTGTGCTGACAGTGACTCTCAGATATCAGATTAAGATCTTTCCCAGTTTGGCTCAGATCCCTGAACTGGTGATGCCACAAGATTGGATTAGAAATCTGCAAAAATATGTTCCACCTTTGCAGTTCAGTTTCTCACACGATTGGATTAGAAATCTGCAAATATATATATATATATATGTTCCACCTTTGCAGTTCAGTTTCTCCTGTTCTGAGCTGTTTGTGTGCCTTTTAAAGTATGGTTAATATTAATTAAAAAGACAATTATATAACCAGGGGCATGCTGGCAATCCTCCTGGTGCCAAAGAACTAAATAAGCAGTCTTCCATAAAATTGTGTTTATTTTAGAGTATTAGAAGCCCATTCTGGCAAGACACAAGGGCCATCAACCAGTAAAACACAGCCACCTCTGCGATACAGAGCACAGTAGGGCACCAACACACTAGAAAAACTGTGTACAGTATCTAAAAACTTGAGCGGCTTAAGGAAAGAATGATAAATTCAGTACTGGAGCCCTACAAGCACCCTAGTGTGACTTAGCTAAACCAGTCATAACATTATTCTGTTCCCATGATGGTAAAATGATGTAAGTCCCAGACTGAATGCAAGTACTATGCCCTGTGTATATCACCAAATTGATTTGGTTTCTAATGGCAAACTCCCTGCGCTCACAGCACAGCAACGTCTCTGCCGATAATCTTGCACGTGAGCCAACCGGCATTCCAGTGAGGGTGGCACTTCCCAGAAGGAGGCATTGGGAACTATTGAGAGGGTGGGATGATTTTTCTGCATGCAAAATGAAGACGTGTAGAATGGCAAGTTTCTAAAGAGTGAATTTGTCCTTCTAAGTACTTCACTATGGTGGTGATGTTCTACTGATCTTGCCTGCTTCTCAGAGAAATCCCACGTTCATTTTTTTTCTAATGGAGAATGCTTTTGCAGAAGACACACCATTCAGCCCTCTCTCTCTCTTTATCATTTTCTCACAAAATCAAAACACAGCACAGAACAAGAGCATCTGGAAGTAGTATCTTGTTTATTTCAGCATCTTATAAAATGCAAGAGACTGGTTAGCCCCACAGCCCTGGGTCTCTCAGACTCCTGGGAAGGCTGATGGGAACATACAGGAACAAGCTATTAAAAATAACAATTAGGCATAGAGAACATATCATCTGGCACCTCATAGAAGACAGTCAGAAACTAGGAGATGCACAGCCACTTGTGGAGCACACTATTTATGGTTTTCTAAGCATAGACTTTTCACATGGCTGCTGTTCACAGCTATTTCCCTAAATGGGATCTAATGACAATGGCATTTGGTGGCCTGTCAGCTAAAAGGCAGACTTTACTAGAACATAAAACCTTGGCAGTGAGATTTGCTGTTTTTCTTAACTGCGGCAGCAACGGCACAATCTGGGAAGCGCCATTCTGCCCTCGTTTGTTTTGCTTCCTGTCATCACTTTCTCAGAGTGATTCACAACACAGAAGCCTTTCCAATGGCCTCCATGTAAGAGTCATAATGTTTGAATTAGTCCCAAATGATATGATGTAAGGGAGGAACTGTTCTCAGACAGCCATGATGTCTTTGGTAAGAGATTGCCAAAACCGTGATGTTGCAGGGCTGACTTGGAATGCAATTTGTAATGGATGATTACATCCTAACGGCAGCAAAAGCTGGCATTTGCGGAAATAAGATACACCAATGCATATGCATCCTTTAGCTGCCTAATTCAAAAGCACCAGCAGACACCTGCTACTTCTATATTTTGTCGTTTTGACTTGTTTTGTTGGCACTGTTCTATTGGCATGGCTGGCGGGGGGTGTTGCAAAGGGCCCGCAAAAATGTAAGGCCATTTTGCTCAACTCATGCTAAATTATTAAACACCTTCTCTTATGAAAAGAGATCTGCTGACACCTATATAGTTTAAAAACTCCCAAGAGAAATAGATTGGTTGTTGTGGTTTTTTCGGGCTTCTTGGCCGTGTTCTGAAGGTGGTTCTTCCTAACGTTTCGCCAGTCTCTGTGGCCGGCATCTTCAGAGGACAGCAAACTGTGCTCTGGTGTAGTTTGGCTAGGGCATGGAGTATTTATGGCTGTGAGATGGGATGATTATTGTGTATTGTTGAGGGTGTATTGTTTTCTGTGGATGGGTGATTAGTGTGTTTTGTTGTGGGTGTATTGTTGTGATAAGGAGATTATCTGTCACTGTGGTTGATGGTAGTGATCCCCTTGACCTTGAGGCATAATCAAAACACTGGTAGACCGTGCAAAGACAGAGACTGGTGAAACGTTAGGAAAAACCACCTTCAGAACACAGCCAAGAAGCCCGAAAAACCCACAACAACCATTAGATCCCGGCTGTGAAAGCCGTCACGAATACACAGAAATAGATTGCTGATAAATACAGGTGCATGAATGGAAAGTCAGTTTAACTCCAATGATGGGCACCAAAGCTTTGCATATGAAAGCTTGGGGATTTTCAACTGACTTTGACCACTAGTCATTTCACATGGCTTGTTGTGAGGGTGAGGGTGGTCCTCTTTGCAATGTGGCCTTAAAAAAACAAAACCAGCTTTTGGCAAATTTCCACCACTAGTTTTCTATTCACAGCTCCATGCTCTGCTCCAATATGAGGCTTATGTTGCAATATATTGCTTGTCACCGAAAGGTATATGGCATCTTTGCTGGAACTGAAGTTTAATTTTGAAATATATAAAAAGTTGATTAATATCATAACCAATTGCATAGTAATTTTTTTTAAAAAAACAGCCAGCTGTAGTGCCTTCTATATCTCACACCCCTCAATTAGTAGACACAAAATATATCCAATAAAAATGTATATAATAGTGTGTGTGTGGATCTTAGACAATCACAGCTCATTCCTTTTCACGTGTTGCACATTGCACGTGGCTACAAATGTGGAAGTGGCATGTGGACAGCAATGTGGGTGGGGGCGTCACAATGAGTGTAAACCAATAAGAGGATCTATGAAGGAAATGGATGAGGATGCAAAGAACACCAAGGAAAAAAGGAGGGCTATGGAGAAAGAAGGAACTGCATTTTAGGCAGGCTATACCTTCACATCCACGCTCAATCTGCCCACTGCGGTGCAAAGCATCATTAATAAGGTCTGGCAGGCGTCCATTCAAGTCCACTGATGCAAGGCAGCCTTGAAACCCATCACGGGATGCCACCAATTTTGGAAGGTTGCTGTACATTCCTTGGGCAAGACCAGCGATGTAAAGATCACCTGGAGGGAAAGCAGGCAACAGGACAAGGGAAAGGGAAAAGAAGTCAAAAAGCAGTGTCATTTACAGATATATTGCACACAATGGGAAGGATTACTTTTTTGGATTACATCTCCAAGAGTATACCAAAAGACTTGTTGGCTAGGACATTTTGGAAGTTCTCATTCAAAAAGGTAACCTTTCTCATTTCTGCCACACATTTGTGTGATTCCTCTCTTTAACAAGAAGGCAGATGTTGCAACAAGAACACAGTGTGATATAAACAACAGTCAGTGATAGAAAAAAGAGCTATTTTACTCAATTTCTGTGTCAAGGAAAGAAAAATGCAAAATGAGAATCAAAACAGCAACTCCTTGCAATGGACACCTACATTTGCATATGGGAAAATTCACTGCCCTTTTTCTGTAGAAGTCTGAAACCAATCGTCCTTAAATTCAATGAACATGTGAAAGATTTTTGGAGGACACATGGGCTAACCCTACCCATTGCTAGTAACTCGACGCTACCCCTCCCCTGATGAAGGTCCACAAGACATTTATGAGAAGGAGCTGGAAATCAAGCCCCATAAGGAACAGCTAAAGGAAGCGGATAGGTTTACCTTGGAAAAGAGATGGTTGAAAGGTGTCACAGGGAAGAGGGAGAAAGCTTGAGTTTTGCACAGAAGGGAGAACCCAAAAGTAATATGTTCAAATTATAAGCAAGAAGACTCTGACTAAACATTAGGTAGAACTTGTTTACAATAAAAGCTGCCATGGAATGGATGAGTTTGGAAGGTGCTGGGCTTTCATTCATCAGATATTGTTAAACAGAGGGTAGATAGCCATCTGCCAGGGATGCTTTAGCTAAAAATGTCCTGCATGGGCAGAAGGTGGATAGATGCCCCTTTGTTCCCTTCTTTGTTTACAGTTCTGTGATTTTTTTTTTACATGCAGAAACTCTTACCCTTCAGCAGAAGACGTGCCCAATCAGGGCTGCTCAAGGGCAGGAATTCTCTACATGTAGTATTAACTGTGTCTATGAAATAGAAGAAGAAGCAATCTACTGAAGGCAGAAAATAAGGCTAGAAAGACTAATCCTGTGTGGAAGTTCTAATGTCCTCGTGTTCAGTCACTCTAACAGAGTGGTGGGGGATTGGTGGCCTTCCAGATATTTTGCATTTCATCTCTTATCATTAGTCATTCTCACTCCTGGGAGCAGCAGGTCAAACTATGCGGAGGACCAAAGGTCTGACATATGCATACAGTGCATTCCATGGTCAAACTCTTTGGTCAGCGGACCTTTTCATGTTGCAGATGGGAGATCATGATTCAGTTCTCTCCCATACAAATATCTCTGTCAACTGGATGTCAGAGAAAAATGACCTCTCAATATATTTTCCTTAACACACTAGTATTCCGTGCAGTTTATGTCTATCTGTGGGGTGTTTACATTTTAGGGCTGTTTTATGAATGTTGTTTTTCTGAATTCCAACATAAACTCATCTGGCCTGTCCCTCCTGCAGCAATGGTCAGTCCTGAGCTTTTTGTATTCACTAACTTTCACAGAAATACTGGTTTTGATGATGTGGAAATTCTATTTATATGGATGAATCAGTGATGGCCAATACACACATGTTATAATTTGCAGCCAAATCAATTCCTATCTGAAACAATTACATCAAAATACATTTTAAGAAGGTTCATGGCACAGTGGTTAAACTGCAGTACTTCAGTCAATATTCTGCTCCTGTCTTGAGTTCCATCCCAAGAGGTGCTGGTAGCTGGCTCAGTTAACTCTGACTTCTATCCTTCCAAGGTCAGTAAATTGAGTCCCCGGCTCGGGGGCGGGGGGACAATGTGTAGCTTGCATAATTAACATCAAAATACATTTTAAGAAGGTTCATGGCACAGTGGTTAAACTGCAGTACTTCAGTCAATATTCTGCTCCTGTCTTGAGTTCCATCCCAAGAGGTGCTGGTAGCTGGCTCAGTTAACTCTGACTTCTATCCTTCCAAGGTCAGTAAATTGAGTCCCCGGCTCGGGGGCGGGGGGACAATGTGTAGCTTGCATAATTAATTTATAAACTGGGGGCGGGGGGACAGTGTGTAGCTTGCATAATTAATTTATAAACAGCCCTGAAAGTGCTTTAAGCACTACACAATTTGCTTTATATTTTGAGTGGAAATGCCTTTAGAACTTTGTACTTCAAATACATTTAGAAATTAGTATTTTGTCAGAATATAGATAATGAAATGCACATTTAAATAATATTTATACGGGGTGGTTGTGCTGATTTAAAAATAATGCAAATGAATACAGAACTGAGGTGGTCTGGACTTACTGGTAAATATGCATGACAAAAGCATCTACTGCAAACAGAAAAAATTCACTTATCCCTTACTAGGAGCCTCATGACAAAATGGTTAAACTGCTGTACTGCGGCCAAAACTGTGCTCACAACCTGGGGTTCAATCCTAGGAAGCCAGCTCAAGGTTGACTCAGCCTTCTATCCTTCTGAGGTCAGTAAAATGAATACCCAGCTTGCTGGGGGGGGCAATGTGTAACCTGCATAATTAACTTGTAAATTGCCCAGAGAGTGCTTGAAGCACTATAGGGAAGTATATAAGCAGCATGCTTATACATGTTTGTATTTGTGCCCGTGAAAACACATGACCTAACCTATAGCCTGCTCTACTAGGCATGAGGATTTCATTTCCATGTTAAAACCTATCAGTCTGGGAAGAGCTTACCTTCATCTCACACATTCGTCTTCATCTTTTACTGACTAAAGCAGCAGATTATAACGTTTATATATGAATTGACCATAACGAGTATATCCTTACAAACAGATTTTTCACGTCATGCAGTATCAACAGAAACAGTTATTTTCGATGGACAGTTATCCATGCAGGAAGATACATCACTTTTCTCACTGTTGAACGGACCCATTAACTGCAGGGGGGAATCCCATGAGATACTGGCATCTCATGGGTAAGCCTAGTTAGCTATGCTCCGTTCCTAGCCCCTGAAGACTCCAAGACAGCAAGTGTTTTGCTATCTTCCACTTATGTTCCTCATAATCTATGCCCCTCGGGTCAATCTTTGGCAGGGAGCATTCTTACAGTTGAACTGATCTGTCTGATGTGATGCTCTCTGTTCCAACCCATACCTGAATCTCAAGCAGTGAAGGTATTTCCTAGATCTGCTACTTAAGCTTTTGAAATGGTTACAGATTTAACTTGGGGTGTTTTGGATAAACCTCGTACTGTAAGTTCTTTCTGGGGGGCAGGGGAAGGGAGAAAAGATATACGTTTTCTCAAACATGAAAAGAAATTTAAGGGCAAGGACATGCTACTGGGGACCAAGACGAAGTCCAAGACCATCCATCTCATGGCATTCCTGATTACTGTGTACACATGTGAAAGCCAGAGAGTGGGAAAAGCTGTCAGAAAAACAGTGAGTCATTTGAAATGAGCTGTTGGAGGAGAGCTTTATGGATGCCATAGACCATAAGAAAAACAAACAAAATAGATGTTAGATCAAATCAAGCCTGAATTCTCCCTAGAAGCAAAAAATGACTAAACTGAGGCTATTATATTTTGGGCGTATCATGAGTAGACAAAGATATCATGAGCAGGCAATAATGCTGGGAAAATTTGAAGGCAGCAGGAATAGAGGAAGACCATACATGAGATGGATTGACTTAAGAAAGGAAACCGTGGCCTTATGTTGCAAAACCTGAGCAAGGCTCTGGATGATAGGACCTTCTGGAGGTCACTAACTCATGGGGTCTTTGTAAATTGTGAATGATTTGACTGTACATAAGAACAAATTTTGCATATAAATTCTGTGTTCTACCATTGAGTTATGACCCTTGTTTGCCCACATCCAACTTTCAGATGGTGGCCAGTATTCTGTTGTGTAGCTCCAACTGTGTGGTGTGATTGATATATCAGCCATAGCAGATTGCCACTAATGAAATGCTGAAATCCTGTTGCTCAGCATAGTAAATTGCAATTAGAATCGGCCCACTGAGCCAATTACACTAGTAGGGACATACTATTATAAGCAACAGGATTTCAGCCAATTAGCTCTTTTTTCAGTTCAAAATGTTTGTGACTCTGTATCATTGTGCACAAGTTATGCACACCTTATATTGAAAAAGCAACTCTTTCATTCACAGGAATCTGCCACGGCAGTTTACACATGCAAAGCTGTGCAACAGAATACTGGCAATAAGTTAAGTAAGCATTGGTGAATAACTACTGTATTGAGTCACAAAGCTGTGCAATAGAATACTGGCAATAAGTTAAGTAAGAAAATACCAAGAGATGGCAAGCATTGGTGAATAACTACTGTATTGAGTACTGTATCTAGTTACTTACCCTTAAGGTCAAGGTTCTTGGCACCATTGATAACCTGAGTAACCATCCTGGTGTCCACTTTTAGGCTGTGGGTGTTACTGTTGTCTCGGGTGATGACTACATTGTGCCACTGGTTGTCATTTAAAGGCCGATCACTATTGCCCTTGATGACATTTGGTCCATTCCCTAGGTCAAACACATAATGTATATACCTGCAAATGACACGAGTGCCTGCTTAGAATAAATTCCAGAAAAAAATATATGAATTTGAAAAGAAAGAAAGACAGAAGGATCATTTTTATTTTATATTAAATATTTCAAGTTATTATCCATTGACATGAACTAGAATAACTAGCTTGGGCTTGAACATAATGTGTAAAACTGGAGCTCCAAATTACTTCTTGGAGAAAAAGAGGTAAGAGGAAAAATAATGGATCACCAGACTAGCGAAATTGTGACTGCACACGATTGACCAATTTGATCTCGGAGCTGACGATGGATCTCACTTACCCTTTAACCAGTTCGACGGCAATGAAATCATTTCCATCCCCACTGTTGAAAAGGATGAAACCATCGGCAGAGGTTGTCTTGAACTGAAAGAAGAGGTGCATGGATGTATAGGCCTGCAGGGTTGCTAAGCTCAGGTAGCTGCTCTTGGTTTTGAAAGTGACAGGATCAGCGATGATGTTACGAAGCCCAAAACGGGCTTTCAATTCACAGTAGTCTATGTCACCATTCTTGCACAAGTCAATATAGAGAAGACCATTGAACATGAGGCTCTGGAGGTGGCCAATGAAGCTGGAAGGAAGGACGGAGATGTATCGCTTTTCTGTCATTATCCCAGTCTCAATGTTGTGGAATTCCAAGCGAGTATGGTCACCAACCATAGTTCCTGGGGATTAGAACACAATAAAGTTGAAGAAAGTTCTTGAACACTAATGAAATTGGTAGCAACACTTGTCCTTCACAGTTAATCCAGTAGAGTTGCTGTTATAAGAACTGAACTACTGAGTGTAACAATTTTTCCTGTTACAATCTAGATTACTTAGTCTAAATCTAGAGCATACACAGATAGGGTTTAGGATCTTTTTGCATTGTCCACTGTGCCAAAAAAAAAAGCAGGGAAAAAAGGAATTCTGAGAAACTTGTGATGGAAAACTTCAGAAAGGCAAAAATATATGCTACACATTTCCTTTTATGAACAAAAAGCAGTTGATTTTTTGTCGTCAAGTGACAGGGTGTGGTGCAGTATCTAGAGGGTAGATGTGAGCTAAATCAATCCAGGTTCAAAATAAAACATAATTAATCTTAGATTAATTTGCCTTTTAGCATTGTTATGATGATAGAAGGGGGGGAACATATGTAGGAACATAAGAAACTACTTAACACTCAGAACTGGCAGCAGTTGCTTAGGATTTCAGATAGGTTTTTTTTCCTAGCCCTACCTGGAAATCAGTTTTGCCTGATGGTCTCCCATTCAAATACTAACCAGGTCTGACCCTGATTAGCTTTCAAAATCAGAAAAGATCAGACGTACTCAGGGCAGTCCACCATATTTTATTCATTGGAAGAAAAGTAACTTAAAAGATAAAACATACCATTGTAATTTTCTTGGAGGAAGATTGGGCTAAAAGGAGAAGGGGGCATATCATGGCAAGATGCTTGAAGGAATAGTGGGGTATGCATAAACTTTGTGTCTGTGTGTGTGTGTTGCTGGTCTCTTAAAAGACCTGCAGGATGCTCTTTGTCAGAGTATGAGAGAGTGACTGAGCATTCACTGGGATTGCAGGACTGCCTGCTTCTTACTGAATCCAGCCTGGGTTATAGAAACAGCTCACCTTACTGCGTCCAGCCTTCCACATGCAACATTTCAGAAACACTTTAGAAATAAATCGCCCTGCTTCCCAGTGTAAGGACTGTCAATTAAATTGTCAAGGGCAAGGGGATCAGGAGAGGGAGAGGGAAAGAAAAAGGAGGACACAGTCATAAAAATGGTAATGTGCTCAAGAGCCATCCTGCTGCTTTGCAGGAGGAGACATAGTTGGATGTTATTTTGGTTATCCTTTGGTTCTGCTCACTGATGTAGCAGGGGGTAAGGCAGGAGAAGGCAATGGATAAAACAGCCTCATTAACTTCAAACAGCAAATTACCTCTCCATTTGGGCATGGCTTGTCTCTGCGCTGGTCTTTAATTATTTGCTTCCAGAAAGACTCTAATTAAATTACTTCTACTAATTCACACCAATACATACACTGATAAAGCTTTATAGGTCTCATTATTTTACACACACACACACACACACACACACACACACACACACACACCTGTTTACATATTTATTCACACATACAATGTTCTCCATGGATATGTTACACATGTATTTTATTTATGTCCCTGTATGCACAAAACAGGGATGTGGTGGCGCAAAAATCCCTCTAGGCTGCAAGGTGGTAAAACCAGCACTTCGAATCCATATGACAGAGTGAGCTCCCGTTGCTTGTCCCAGCTCTCGCCAACCTAGCAGTTTGAAAGCATGTACAATTGTGAGTAGATAAGTAGGTGCCACCACGGTGGGAAGGTAACAGCGTTCTGTGTCTAGTCGTGCTGGCCGCGTGACCACAGATACTGTCTACGGACAAACGCTGGCTCTACGGCTTGGAAACAGGGATGAGCATTGCCCTCTAGAGTCAGACACAACTGGACAATCTGTCAAGGGGAACCTTTACCTTTACCTATGCACAAACAGCTGTTAAAGATTTTAACATAAAATTAATTGAAAATGGTTCAGGATTTCACTTTTGGGTTTATATTTTAGGATTATCAAAAATGGGCTATGAATTAGCTTCTTTCCTTAAGCCTCCTAGATGCAAAACATTTTCTTATCGGCAAGCATAGTTAATGCTCTGTGCACCATCCTGTGGTGGTACCCCTACACTGCATCCTTTTTAATCATATAAAATGCATAAATAGGAAGCACACTTTGCTATTAGTGAGTAATAAACTTCTGTAGGATTGTGTTGCCAGTAATTTGTTAAGTTAGGCATTCTGTGAACTGATGCCCACTTCTCTCCAGTACATATATCAACTTGCTTCACGTGGAGCAACAAATACAGTATTAAGTAAATTATATTAGAATGGGTGATACCTTTATTAAGACAACCAAAAGGACACAAACAAGTCTGCAAACTTTCAAGATCACTGATTGAAATGCTGCTCATTCTTTTGTGCCTTTTTCATTAGCTTAATAAAGGTATCACAATGGAACACTTTTGATTTTTTACATATTTTCAATGACTCAAACATCTGGTATGTTGAAATGATAGGGATAACTCCATATACAAGTACTTTTTAGCTTTCCCTTGTTGTTTCTCTCCCTTTCACTTTCTCTGTGCATGTATGCATATGTACACACACGAGTGCACATACAATTGCTCATTTTCAATTCTCCCCGTCACACACACACACCTGTGTCCTATCTCACTTCTTTGCCTTTACAAATGAGCTTTTGGATTTTCACAAACGTCTTTGTGAGGTATAATGTAATAGTAAAGAAAATGATCACAGAAGATTTGCTTCCAGAAAAGCATGAATTGACAAAGAACCAAGTGCCACCAAACTGGAAGCTTCTACAAACTGTATTACCTCTCCTATACTTTTCCCATCAATAAAGCATAAGAAACAGGGGCGTATTGTATCTGTTACATTCTCCATTCTCCTCTTCTGTGCTGCTCACTGTGTAACCCGAGTCAGCCTCAGACTTTGGCTTTATTCTGATGCTGGCCAGGTTGACAGCGGTGGAAGAACAAACAGGTGTGCCCCTATCACCAACACACAATGTATATGTGATTCAGCTGCTATCATGCTCCCCTTTCCATGAGGGTGACTTGTGCAAGTCACGTTTTTTCTATTGCACATTACATTATGACTACAGTGGGATGGACTTGATCCCCCAAAGTTCTACCATTAGAACAGGATCTCTGACACAAATTAATAGCTGAACTCAATCTTTACTCCTTGTTACTGGGGGGGAAAAGAGGAAAAGTCACAGAATGAAAGGTAAGATGTGGGGCAAAGAAAAGCATTTGTCAACTGAGACATCACATTTGACATGTGTGTTAAGAAGACCAGAACACAGAACAGATTCGGCCATTTACCTTCAGCAACATCATCATCCACAGTCAGTTTCAGACTCTTTCCTCGACGTACCACTCGGACTGTGTGCCACTCATTGTCATTGAGTTTCTGCCCAGCATAAAGGGTCTCAGGTCCTTTACCTGGAGACAGTGGCAAGTACAAGCATGTGTTAAATCCACAGGCCTGATGCACAGTAAAGCTTGCCTGGTTGGAAACATCACTGAAATCACTTTGGTGTGATGGCGTAGTTGTTCATTCACAAAAAGGTAACACAAAACCAACTACATCAATACCAAATAGACTGAGTTGTACATGCCGTCCAAATTAGAACTGCATGGGACTTCTTATGCCTTTCTGTCTTTCTCAGTCCACGGAACACATATAGTTTAAGAGGAAAACTAAACATTTCATATTTCATATCAACAAATGTTACTGCAGTGCTCAAGGATCATCAAAATTGGACAGATCTGGAGGAAAGTGAAATAGCAATATTTCTGTATCGGAGTGAATAGACGGCTCTTTCATTACTCCTAATGATAATTCACACCAGTTTGCTTTCGGCAAACATGTCTCCAAACAAGGTCAAGCATAAAAATGTTCAGAGCAAAACAACAATATTCTGTCACCCAAGTTGTTTCTCACCATTCTCTCAATAAGAAATTTTTAGGAGACTTTCTTTCCATGTCACAACATACAACAACCAATCTTCTGGTAAACAATGCTCCTCGAGGCAAGACCAGCCTTGCAACTTTTTCTGCCTCTCCATTCTCAGTAAATGGCAATGGCTTAAGGTTCCGAGTCCATATGGAATTAAGGGGACCCATTGTGATAAATGGTATACATCTGCACTTGTCTCATGCTCATGTACCAGAAAATGCACATTTCTTTTTCTCCTCACTTGTAAGATGGTGAGAGTTTTTAAGTGTACATTTTTGTGCACATTTCTTCTGTGTTTCAAGGACTATTAAAAAGTAAAAACATTGCATGGATTTTTTTTATGTCTTTGTGAGCAAGCAGTCTGTCTTTTTGTGCTTGCTATGTGCATGGAGTTTTAGAAAAGGAAACAGTGTTACAGATGCACTTTGCAAAGCACAATAAGAGGAAGTTGCAATGTTTTTACAGAATTCTTTACAGAATCCTGTCGGGAGGGGGGAACCACACATGCAGTGCTAACTACACAAATAAGTTCCACCCCTTTGCATGGCTGTCATTCCTGCAACTGATTTCACAATCATCTCAGGATGAGCTGTGCTAGGAATGCCCTGACAAAGAGGGGAATCCATTTATGTGGTTATTATCATGCATGTGATTTTTCCCAACAGGATTCTGGCTCTGTATTTTGCTTTTGCTCTGGAGGTGAGACTCTTATTGGGAGTTGGGGTTGAGCAATCCTTGACAGTCTGTCTCTCTGAGATAGCACATCTCAGCTGAGAGATGAGAAGATGGCAAGTTCTCACATTACTAGTTGTAGTTTTATACATATGTATGTGTTTCAAGATGTTTATAACACATCTCAAATGATGCAGCCATAAATGGAGTACATAATGCCTAAGCAATCTCAATAGAAGTTAAAATGTCATGTGTACTCTAGAACTTCCTTTTTGGCCAAATATTTCTTTCTATTTGGACAGACTACAGGGTGATTTCTTTGATTCCATACCATAATAGGCATTTATGTAGCTTATTTCAAATCTGTTTTGAAGGAATGAATGAAAGTTTAAATGTTTTTATTCTTTCCCAAGAAGTGATCTGGTATAACATAAACATGCTTGCATTACAGCCAACCAATCATCAAGATTTTTCTGGAAGCAGGTGGCCTTCTGGCCTTAGTTCTAGAATAGACTAGAATGTTCAAAGAGGAAGATCCCCATGTACAGAAATCAATTATTAGTTAAGATGTATTAGGAATATAGCAATAAAGGAAGCTGTCTTAAACAAGGTCAGCCATTTGTTCAGCTGTCCACTATTGTTAACACTTCTGTAGCTCTCCAAAGTTTCAGATGTGATCCCTTCCTATCTCTACCTAGAGATCCCTACTATTTCCTGGCAGTCTTTTATACAAGTATTCCAGAAGCACCAATGAATTGCTTCTGTCATGAATGAAAAAGAAGACCCATGTACTAGTGAGGCCTGATGCGTCTTAGCTTCCGAAATCAGACAAGAATTGGGTCTACTCAGAGTGATGGTGGTTAAGAATGGCATGGAGGTGGTCCATGTTGCCTTAGCTTTAGTGCAAGCTCAGTTGTCTAATCTGAAGGAAAAGGGAAGAGCAAGTTTCTTCTCTACGAGGAAGCACATCATGCTGTTGGTGCAACAGAAATCCGAGTCTTCTCTTATAGGACAATTAGACTCTATCTGTCTCCTTTTTCTAAGACTTGGGTATATTTCCCTCAATAAAGGAACATCCAGAATTCTCAGTTCCAGTTGCCTTCAGCCATTCCTAAGCAAAGAAAGCATATATTTAAGTATGAAAGACCATTTTTTTTAGCATAAGTGCTGAGTTTCTATGAGATATAAACTATGGCTATTTTATACTCATTTTTCCCACTGTTGACTTTCTTGAATTGTTCTATCATGTAATTTATTGTTTTCTTCAAGTTATTGTATTTTGCAGACTGCCTCTAGGACCCTTTGAGTCAATAAGTATCCTATGACAACTCTCAGAAAGGAATAAATAAAACATGCCAATTTATTGCAATGTCAGTGGAATCAATCTGACTCCTTTCAATTAGAACGAACCAGAATAGACCATGTTGGTGTTTATTAGCAAGGAATATAGAGAACTTGCATTTTAGGAAAATGTGGTAAATATGGCATTTTGAGGATCCTTTTCATTCTCAACAATTCTCAGTAGAAACCGTACCAATAATGCATAAGGGGATCTATTTATACTATTGTACTAGCTGGGTAAAAAGAGAATGGTGTGAAAAAAAGCATACTCCTGTGTTCTTCAGGTTATATACAAAACTGTGTTTGGAGAGGACAGAGTGACTTTGATGAGCATCAGCAGGACAGCATTCAGCAGAACAAATAAATAGTACATCACTGGGCAGTTGTGTCTCTGAGCTATTCAAGTGACCTTAAAGTTCTTTCTTTCCTGGTGACAAGCATCCAGCTGCTGGCTGTTAGGTGAAAGACCAGGATTTGATTTTCAAAGAAACTGGAGGAAAATGAATATGCTATTAGTACTGCCATGCTTTCTAGAGCACAACAGCATTTAAAACAAGAGAAATCCAGTGATTCAAAACTAATAGCTTTGGGGTGCAGAAGGGATTATGCTGTCTTCAAAGGCTTTTCAGCTATTTGTGGGATATGCTTGTGAAGAGATGGTTTAAAATCATTTTAGATTTATTCATCACTTCTTTCTTCTTTATTACCAGCCTTTCTTGTTTTGCTTTGCTTTGGTGGCTGTTGTTTTTGCTCCTGGGGGGATGTCGGCAGCAAGGGGGGGAAAAAAGTTTTTTTTTTAAAAAAAATCTCTGATCACCTGCTGTATGTTTCTGCTCAACATCACCTTTTTCGGTGTTACATCACAAACGTTGCCACGGCAACGAAGTGTAATAGAACAGTCAGAAGCAGCAGCAGGCCCAGGATGACTGTCCAAACATTTTTAAAATATCTTGAAGCTCTGTCCCCACCTCATACAGAAGTAGGTAGTTGGCATGAAACAATAATGGGAGGGGTAGAAAACAGTCTCCCTGCAAGCTAATGGGCTGGAGACACTTTCTATTTTTAAATGTTTTTGATGAGATGACAGCTGGTTGTTAAGCATTTTTTTCCCATTACTTCATTTTTATGAAGGGTGTATAAATATGTGGCAGGAAGATTAGCCGATAACAAAATGCAAGGAAAAAACCTCAACTGCATCTGAAACAGAAATTAACTAGTAAAGTGCTGGAATTTTGCTACTGTTCTTGTTGTTGCTTTTTCCAAATTTTGGAACATCAAATTCCTTGATATTCCAGTGTTATGCTAATAAACAAATTAGAAGAACTGTAGAAGCAGTTCCGAAACCACCAGCAGAGTTAGAACTTGCATAAACACCACATAGGGCAGAATCCAACTGAATTTTATGTTTGGCAAAGTGTAGTGGTATAACCCAAACTGATGTGCCATCATGTTGCCTCCAACCTATGGTGACCCTGTGAATAAGCAATCTCCAAAGCATCCTGTCCTCAACTGCCCTGGTTAGCTCTTGTAAACCCAAGCCTGTGACTTCCTTTAGGGAGTCAATCCATCTTGTATTTGGCCTTCCTCTTTTCCTGCTGCCTTTCATCTTTCCCAGCTTTATTGTCCTTTTCAGAGAATCCTGTATTCTCATGATGTGCCCAAAGTAGGTCAACCTCAGTTTCAACATTTTTGCCTCCATAAATAGTCCAAGCTTGATTTGCTCTTGGACACGCTTGTTCATCTTTCTGGCAGTCCAAGGTATCAGCAAAGCTGTCCTTGAACACCACATTTCAAACAAATCAATTTTTCCCTGTCAGCATTCTTAACAGTCCCACTTTCAGAACCATACATAGTGATGGGATATACAAGAGTGTGGATAATCTTGTTCTTGTCTCTAAATATGTGTCCTTATACTTGATGATATTTTCTAGTTCCTTCTTTGTTGCCCTTCTGGGTCTCAGTCTTCTTCCAACGTCCTTATACTTGATTATATTTTCTAGTTCCTTCTTTGTTGCCCTTCTGGGTCTCAGTCTTCTTCCAATTTTTGACTGTACCCTTCATTTGCATTGATGAATGAAACAAGGTACTGTATTTTTCTGTGTATAATCTTCATTTGCACTGATGAATGAAACAAGGTACTGTAATTTTCCGTGTATAAGATGATACTTTTGACTAAAATATTTAGATTAAAAATTAAGGGTTGTCTTATACACATAAGTAAGGAGGGGGGAGGGATCAAAGCGCTTTGATCCCTGCTTTCCCCCTCCACTTTCTTGTGAAGAAAAAAAATTTGGGTTAGAAAAGGGGGGATTGTACATGGGGGGCATCTTATGCACAGAAAAATACAGTGTATAAAATCTTGATTTCAGTTTCTTTGTTGTCAACATTACTGTTGTGCAGTTCTTCTGTAGTCATAATTTTGGTCTTAGTGTTCAACTGCAGTCCTCCTTTGGCACTACCTTCTTTCACT